AATTAATTCTGTAATACTGTATATATTTTAATAAGTAAATTCATATAATTTTTCTTTAATAATTAAATTCATACAGTATAATGTTTTTAATAATTAAGTTTGTATTATGTTTTTTAATTATAATTTTTTACTAATAAATATTTTTTTAATAAATAAATTTAATAAATTCGGATATAATTTTTCTTAATAAATCAATTCATGTAATATATATTTTAATAATTAAATTTGTATAATGTTTTTTAATAATTACTAAATTTGTATAATGCTTTTTTTTAACAAATAAACTCATAATGTTTTTAATAAATAAATTTAATAAATTCGGGTATATATATTATTTTTAATAAAATTCAGATATATATATATATATATATTTTTAATAAAATAAAATTCGGATATATATTTTTTAATAAAATAAAATTCAGATATATATATATTTTTGGATATATATATTTTTTATATAATTTGGATATATGTATATTTTAATAAAATTCAGACATATTTTTTTTTATATTTGATCAGGTTCATTTAAGAATGTTATTCGCTTTATATATTTAATTTCCTTCAATTCCTATTATAGTTAATTACAAAAATTAGCCTCCTGAACAATGTATACGAATAATAAATATTTCCTTGATGTTAATATGTAGTTAGCTCCCAGATTTTTGGCCAGCCAATTCATAATTCCTTGATGTCAATATATGGTTAGCTCTTGATTTTTGATCAACCAATTCGGATCATGCTGCAGATCATGATCAATTTTTTTTTTTTTTATATAAACGACCATTGTTCGTAATATTGACGGAAAAAAAATATCAACTCAATATCAATATCAATATCAATTCAATATCAATTCAATATCAATATCAATAATATAATAATATAAAAAACGTACCCTATACTTAGCGCATAAGAGCTAACCAAATTAGTAAAATTTTCCTTCCTTTCCAGGATAGCACGATTAGCATAACAACCAATTACAAGGACTATCACTATTAAAATGAAGATCACCTGATATCGTTAACTATATAGCGTGATCTGTATATAGTGTCAAATTCAGTTAATATGGAATTTATTTTAGTAATTTTTCTATAATTAAGCTTATAATTATATATTTTTTTTTATTTGACAATTTTTTATAACTATTTTAGAGCAAATTTATATTTTTTTGCATAAAATGTTTTATATTGTTAAAAAATTTTTTTTTTTATTCACAATTTTCCCATTTATCTTGATAAAATTTGAGAAAATTTCTAGTGAATTTGCATCTAGTTTTTAATTTATGAAATTTTTCTTTAAAATCAACATTTGTAGTTGATTTTCAGTAAAAAAGCACTAGAGTCTTAAATGATGTCAAAATGTAGCCTTTGTCTCAGGTTTACTATACAATTTACACAATGTAAATTGAATTTATTTTGAGCGTATAACATGCATTTTTATCACGTGGATAATTTCCGGTTTTTTTTGTAACTTTATTGAGAAGACGTTATATTGTGATAAATTACGTTGCGTGAATAAAAAAAAAATAAATATAAATATAATGAGGCAAACAATAAACAAATAAATTAGCAAAGCTGCTTGCATCACACAAGTTACGTGGGAGTGAGTGATACTGGGGAGGTATCCTTAACGTGCATCTTTTCTTAAATATGATTGGCTCAAAATGTGGTGCATCTGATCATCAATAGAATATTATTATTTTTGTACAACATATCCCTAGTTTCTCGCGAAAAAAATGAGTAAAACTATTTAAACTATTTTAATTTCAACAAGAAACATCTTCCATGATGTGCGTCATTATCACATAAAGTAACATCAGGTGAAATGATGTCAAACGCTACTTGTGGTCGTACGAATGCAATGAAGATGATTTAGAAAAAAGAAATAAATTGTAAAACAATTATAAATTTTGATTTATTTATAATCGACGTTGAAATTTTCATAACTTACATAGAACAAACTTCTAAATAAAAGTAAACCATATACGATGTAATCATTTAATTTTGATTTTCTGAATTGCCTTAGTTTTCAGACTAAGAAAATGATGACAGATTCTGAAAATATAATCGTCAAACATTCCGATAAAGAAGTCCAATATTGGATAAACTGCATGCGAAACCACTTAAATTGAGAATAATCTTTAATATACTTGATATTTTTAAATTATTCGAGCGATAAAGTAAGATCGATTTAATTAGATTATGTATGGAAGCCTTTAATTGATTAGATTAATAAATATTAGTAATAAAATTAAAAGGAATTGAAGTATAAAATGGTTAAAAAACTCACCATAATCATTTCGATCGTATAATCCATGATGATTTTTAATGTTTGACGATTACAAAATTAAAAGAAAAAAGGAATGAACGAAAAAAAAAAAAATTATTCAAAAAGAAAAATATACAGAAATGAGAAATTTTTTTTAAAAAAAAGATTTTCACGCACTTTTATAATACCAATTTTATAAAACTCTTTCATTTTTTTGAATATTATACAGTATTAGACTATACTATATTTCGAAACCTAAATTCTTTGGATTCCATATTAGGTTTCCTTATTTTCTAAGTTATTTTTAAAAAAATAATTTAATATAAATGTCTCAGTGACTCCTTGTTGTTATTATTATTTTCATATTCAACAATTATTCATGTTAACTATTAAAATTATATACTTGGTAATTTTATAGTTTCAGTCATATAGCGTGTTAAGTTCCTAGCAAAAAAAAACAGGTAGATCATTAAATTACTGCGTAAACAAAAAACATGTTTATAGATAATACAAAAAGATATTATGAAACAGGTTTTACAACAAATTGGATCATTTCTAAATTTGGATAAAATTTTTTCATCAAAAATCTAATTTAAAAATATATTGTTTCACATGAGGTTGACGTTTGCTAGTTTGCATATAATATTTTATATTGTTGCGAATGTTGCGTTACATTATCTGTTAAATGCGAAGATCAATGATCATCATTTACTAGATTACGAAATATTACAGTGATTATTACTTTAGAATTAATTAATTAAATGTACAATATAACGATAAATTTACTTTTATAAAAATCTTTATTTAGAATATTTTTAAAAAGTACTTGGATTTATTAGATAAAAAAGGTATTATTTGGTTAATAAGTGGGTTTTCTCCTTTCATTTATTGATTTATAAACAATCGTTTGAAAAAATTAAACATACAATATTTCATGAAGTTCGCGTCATTATACAATTACTTTTATCAGCAATAATACCTTAAGAAAGCATTGTTCCTTACATGATCATATATATATGTATATCGAAATTTGGAATTTACTAGTTTATCGTTACCTATAAATAGCGACCAGGTGGAAGGACAGGGGATGGAGTAAAGACTTGCATGAGTGATTTATGAAACAATAATTCAAGGGTAAAATAAAATATAGTTAGTTTAAATTACATGTTTATATCATGTAAGGTATTTAATAGCCCTGTAAAAAATCTGATCCGTGTTTTATTTTTCCATGTTTTTTCCGTGAATGTATCATTTTAATGGAATTTATAGCCTTAAATCATGGAAATTTTCATCTCGCTAACACGGATATCCGTAAATGTATCATTTTCACGGAATTTTTACGGAAGACACGGAGAAATAATGGAAATATTCGGATAAAATTTTTTATAGGGTAGTTACTCGGCACAAAGTGCCGAGTAACTGTTGTATTTACAATAAGCAATATGATTGGTGGGATTTACTGAGCGCAGCTCAGCAAATTTCACTGATCATATTCTTATTGCAAATACAATGAAATTATTATTCATAAATAATTTTTATTTAATAATTTGAATATCAAACCATCTCTATACATTTAAGTTCCTTGGTACTTGTTCTATTATATTGCATGTTTGTCTTTTTATTGAAAATTTAGAATTATGTTTTTGTTATATATTTATATATCATCCTTTTACTTTTTGCCAATACTCAGAGTTATTTCAACCTAAAAGACACTTTATTAAACGCTTTTATTAGTGGGCTACATATTTATGCAAAATGTAGTTACCAAATTATACAAAATTTTTTAGGCTTCCTTAATACAGTGAGTATTACATTGTACACAAAATTATGTTAATTTCATGCAACAAAGAAATTATTAATTGCTTTTTATTAAGTCTTTCTTCTAAAAATCATGTCATTTGGAGAAGAAGTTGATTATCGAAGGATGCGAAACTTGGTGATTAATTTTATAAGGGCGCTTCTATGGTAAAATAGTCCAAATTTTGTTTGATGTTCATAGTATATGTATGTGGTCATTAATACTTTCTTATTTTTCATATCATAAATGTCCATTTAAAATAGATTATTAACAATTAAAAATATGATTGCAGAGTTAATTGTAAATTTTCGTTTAATTCAAAATAAATAAATTTATTATGACAGAGCCTTTTCTATTTTCTACTTTACTTCTCTAAGACAATATAATGATACACTAGAGCTTAGACCACCACCTATCTGATCAATTAGTTCTCATATATACATATTTTCATCAAAAATTGTGGGATGGGTATGCAGAAATAGCAACAAATATAAGAAAATTATATAACCTCTATCTTTTTCCCAAACAAATGCGAGAAGAATGTGAAAAATTCTTTGTTATAACACAGGACCTACCCTATAACAAGACGTCAAAGCATATTTTATGAAGGCTGAGGACGCAATTCCGAAATCGACAGGCATAAGTCAACTTTGAGTCTTGGCTAAACTAAAGGAATCAAAATTCCGTATGCATGTGCTTGTTACTATTGATAACCTTTCAGAGACTTATTGCTATCATACGATAATGATAATCATCCTGTATTTCTTCTTTATTTTTACTAGGCAAAATGTAAAGTGAAAATACAATTAATTGCCTCTTTAATTAATGTATCATTGGTAATACTGTATCTAATCCACTTGTTGCAAAACATTATAAATTCAGATTTTTGCGCAAAAGAATTTATATGTTCTTCCAGTACACGATAAACACCTGTTGAAGTTCAGCCAACCTTCCCGCGAAAAATTAAGGTGCGTATATACTGTAAATTATGCTTACATGCGAAGTAGTTTTTCACTATGGGGTCTCATGTTTCAGAAAGCAAGATAGGTAATACTATTTCTCTCCATTGTCTTATCATTCCTATAGGCCAATTTTATAATCTCCCACATTATAAAGTTGTACAAAAAGTTACGATTGACAAGACTCAAGCAGTTAGTGAACTCAAGTCTATAATTCAGAACAACCTGGGAACACCGTTTAATAACATTCCTCTAGAAGTTCAGAAATTTCATCCTGCCATCGATATTAAAATGTGTATACAACTGCGGGCTCCAATTTCTGATTATTTTAATAAGAAGCCTTCAACGAACATCTTCTATGTTACCGTATATCCCCTGCCATAATTTTCCAGCCAGAATTACACAATGTTATGATGTACTTTTCAGTATTATTATCTATTTACATATACAGGTATCTTCAGTCTATAAAGTTTCTTTTTTTTTCTTATAAAAATTACTTTGATCAGACTGTTATTGTTAAAACTATCAATGATTTATCTTAATGTAGATAATTAATGATACCAATATTAAAAAGGTACTTAAATTTTCTAATTCTCAATTTTTATTTGATTTTTTTACATTTTTGGCGCAAACCTTTATGTATCTATTGTAATACTTTTAAAAACCATACAGTATACAACATAGCGGACATCCCTATTTTATCACAATACTGTTGTCGATCATTTGCCGATCATTTATTCAATTATCACATAAAATAAATACCGTTGCTAAAAAAATTTACATAATAATATATGCTTAAATTTCACAAATAACTTAAATTTAGTTTTAATTTATTGTGTATTAAATTTCATTAGAAACTTTTTAGCTTTTATTATTATTTGGCATATATTTATTCATTTTACGAAATTATTCACTAATTATGTTACTAATAAAAAACCTGCATTATGAATCAGATCACTGCATTATTTTTTTTATAGATTCTACATAATATAAAGAATATTTGTGCAAATTCTTAAGTTTCGCACTCGCATATTCATCTTCGCACTTTAATTTTTGTCTGATGATCGGCAATAATTAGTGAATTATCATAAACAAATAATATATTTATAATATTATTAAAAATTGTGCTAATAATTATATAATTAAAATCATATAATAATTTAGTGTTTTTACTTAGATTCCATTATTTTTTTGCCACATTATTTGAAAAATATTTGTGATTTTGCAATAAGTTTTTAAAATCCGGAATTAGTGATCAGCAAATGATCGGCAAGGTGATATGAGCATGTCCGCTATGCTACAGTATACATAGTTTTGCCTGCTTTACAATTTTATTTAATTTATCAAAAAGGGTTTAGAATACTGTTTTTGACTTTTATATGGGATGCGATATTTTGCGGGTGTGATGAGAAACCAAACCCATAATTTATTGTACATCAGCATAGCGGACATCTTTACTTTATCACAATTTTGTCGATCATTTGTTGATCATTTATTCAATTTTATCACTTTGCTAAAAGTACTTTGGTTTAAAATCCTACATAATAATAATTTTACAGACAGCTTAACATTCATTTAAATTTACTGCATATTAAATTTTATCAAAAAAAATCCCTTTAAATAGTTCATAAAGTTTTGCCAAATTTTGTCTATATGTGTATTTTAATAATATTCATAAACATTTGCTCAATGATAACTTTTTGATTACCTAAAATTCTACATGATTATTTTGGCCATTGATTCTTGAATACCTAAATAATATATTTTGAAAATTTTAAGTTTCGCCCGTAAATCTGTGGCTTCGTCTGAAGCTTCAAAGTCAAATTAGCAGATGATTGGCAAATATCGGCAAATATCTAATTATTGAAAATTTCAGTTTAATAACTTTGACAATATAATTTTTTTTGCCATAAAACTTTTGTAATATGTTTTTCATAAATTATACTGCTAAAAACAAGCATTTTATGGCTTTAACCGTAGCTTCAAAAATTAATGTGCGTGACATGATATATTATATGATCAACAAAATGATCGGCAAAGTGATAAAAGCATGTCCGCTATGCTTTGTACATCTGAATTTTTTTTAATTTGATTACATCAAGCAATAAATTAATATATATATTCATTTTATGTACATTTGTACTTGTACATCAAAATAAAATAAGGTTAGATAGAAGACTTTGGTTTATCAAGAAAAAAAAAAATAACTGATGCATTATATAATCCAGCAGATATCCTTGGTGTAGTTTCTTATCAAAATGTATTAAAAATAAAAAGTCAACAAATATAAATAAAGTACAATCAGCTATTGAAATAAGTGAAACAGGTTGAACCTGTAATGATCAGGCATCAAAAGGATCTATAATTACTTTGTTTGGAGGATCAGGGGAAGAACTTGCTGTCATTTTTATAGAACTGTCTGTGAAACAAAATTGACAGCAGGGCATTTTGCCGACAGGTTTGACCAGAATTATGCAGAGCTATACACAAACAGTGATCAAACGGCCAGTGTTAGGCTATTGGCCAATACATTATCATCGGAAATGGTTTTATATTATTATTTTGATAATTTATATTTCATTAATTTGAAAAGTTATAAAAAAAGATTTATTTAAATTACAAACTAAGAAACTTGTAAAATATTTACTACTCTAGTCTCAGCGTTTAAATAATTATAAAAAAGAGAATATAAATACATAAGCTAAAAAAAAAAGGAGTTATTTAAATTACAAACTAAGAAACTTGTAAAATATTTTACTACTCTAGCCTTTAGTGTTTAAATAAATCTAAAAAGAATAAAACAAAGATCAATTTCTTTTGAATGTGTAATCTCAAATATCACTTAAATAAAACTATAAATTTTTTTAAAAACAAACAATGACTGGTTAATTTTCATCTATTTTAATATCTAAATAATTAAATATTAAATAAAATTAATTTCACATAAATAATTTTTTTATATCATAATACATACATACCTAATGACCCCAAATCCTTAATTATATAATCATTCAAATCTTCACTTACTAGCATTTCATTTGCTTTAGCTTGTGAATCTTCAAGAATTTCATTCAATTTTTTACTAGTAAAATCAAATAAGCGACTTGTATAACATACTTTAGGATGAGATTTAGTAGCAAGATTGTTACGTCCAATTGGTGCATTTATAAATGCCATAATATTGCTTTTTAATTCTTCATTTACTTCATTATTATAAGGACGGAAAATCCAATTCTTAATAACTTTTTCCACTTCTGAAGTAGATGGCCTTTTTAATGGATCTTCGTTCCAACATTTTTTCATTAAATCTACATAGCATTGTGGAGTATTTTCAATAATTTCAGGACGTTCACCTTTACAGATACTTAAACTAAGTTGAATATCATGTGCTCTATCATTAAATGGTGGTACTCCAGATGTAAACTCCCACATAATCATTGAAAAGCTATATATATCACTAGCTAGAGTATAAGATTTGCCTCTTAAAACTTCAGGAGCCATAAATGGCATAACACCATAAATATCATACTTTTCCAAAACCGATTTTACAGGTTGACATAATCCTAAATCACTAATATAAATTTTATCTTCGTTTTTATCATTATGATTTAAAATATTACCATCATGAAAATCACAATGAATAAGATTTTTTTCATGTATCTTACTAAGTCCAGAAATAATATGGTACAACATAAATAATTTTTGTTTCCAATTATTTTCAACTATTCTTGTTAAATTTTCTCTTAAATTACCTTTATTTGCATAATCCAATACTACCATATTTTTTGAAGTATTTGGATCTTCTGTAAATCCATAAAATTTAATAATATCATTACTTGAACAATTTTCATGATATTCCCACTACAAAAAATTATAATAATTTATTAATATAAATTATAAAATAAAAAATAATATACTATCAATATATCATACTTCTTTCAAAAATTCATTTAAATTTTCATTTATATTCTTGTGACATTTAAGAATTACTTTTTTTTCTTCATTATTCTTTAACCAAATAGCTTTGTATATAGTACCAAACCCTCCTTCATTAAGATATTCAACATTTTTAAATTTGTTATAAGGAATCCATTTTAATTTTTTTTCAAGAATAAAATCATCTATAATTGTATTTCCACTTTTCCCAAACCTATAAATTTAGGTAATTAAAATTATATTATAGATTGTATTATAATTTACACTAAAATAAATTATTACTTACTCTAAAATTTAAATAGGAATTTAATGTAATATAAGTCTTAGTTTTTAGATAAATACATATAATAACTTATAATTTACAACTTACCAACTAAAGTAACAGATATTTTTTAAATGAAAGAATTCAATTAACAAAGAAATATTATATAAAATATATAACAATAAATAGAATTAAATAAATAAACTATGGCTTACAAACTAAAATAAATTACAAAATAATTTTTTAAATAAAGAAATTAGTTAGTTTAAATTATATATAAATATTATAACAATAAGTAATTATAGAATTAATTAAATAACTTACTCCCTATATTATTTAATAATTTTTTAAATAAAGAAATTAGATAGTTTAAAATATATGTAAATATTATAACAATAAGTAATAATAGAATTAAATAAATAACTTACCACCTATATTATTTAATAATTTTTTAAATAAAGAAATTAGATAGTTTAAATTATATGTAAATATTATAACAATAAGTAATAATAGAATTAAATAAATAACTTACAACCTATATTATTTAATAATTTTTTAAATAAAGAAATTAGATAGTTTAAATTATATGTAAATATTATAACAATAAGTAATAATAGAATTAAATAAATAACTTACTCCCTATATTATTTAATAATTTTTTAAATAAAGAAATTAGATAGTTTAAATTATATGTAAATATTATAACAATAAGTAATAATAGAATTAAATAAATAACTTACAACCTATATTATTTAATAATTTTTTAAATAAAGAAATTAGATAGTTTAAATTATATGTAAATATTATAACAATAAGTAATAATAGAATTAAATAAATAACTTACAACCTATATTATTTAATAATTTTTTAAATAAAGAAATTAGATAGTTTAAATTATATGTAAATATTATAACAATAAGTAATAATAGAATTAAATAAATAACTTACAACCTATATTATTTAATAATTTTTTAAATAAAGAAATTAGATAGTTTAAATTATATGTAAATATTATAACAATAAGTAATAATAGAATTAAATAAATAACTTACAACCTATATTATTTAATAATTTTTTAAATAAAGAAATTAGATAGTTTAAATTATATGTAAATATTATAACAATAAGTAATAATAGAATTAAATAAATAACTTACAACCTATATTATTTAATAATTTTTTAAATAAAGAAATTAGATAGTTTAAATTATATGTAAATATTATAACAATAAGTAATAATAGAATTAAATAAATAACTTACAACCTATATTATTTAATAATTTTTTAAATAAAGAAATTAGATAGTTTAAATTATATGTAAATATTATAACAATAAGTAATAATAGAATTAAATAAATAACTTACGCTCTACATTATTTAATAATTTTTTAAATAAAGAAATTGATTAGTTTTAATTATATGTAAATATTATAACAATAAGTAATAACAGAATTAAATAATAACTTACTCCCTATATTATTTAATAATTTTTTAAATAAAGAAATTAGTTAGTTTTAATAACAATAAGTAATAATAGAATTAAATAAAAAACTTACACCCTATAATATTTAATAATTTTTTATTTTTTAATAAAGAAATTAGTTAGTTTTAATTATATGTAAATATTATAACAATAAGTAATAATAGATTTAAATAAATAACTACCATCTATAAAATAATTTTTTAAATGAAGAAATTAGTTAGTTTAAATTATATGTAAATATTATAACAATAAAGTAATAATAGAATTAAATAAATAACTACCATCTATAAAATAATTTTTTAAATAAAGAAATTAGTTAGTTTAATTATATGTAAATATTATAACAATAAGTAATAATAGAATTAAATAAATAACTTACCCCCTAGTACATTATTCAATATTTTTTTTAAATAAAGAAATTAATTAAATTATATAATTAATATAAAATTGTAAATATAGATATCATATAACTTACACCCTGTAGTATTATTAATTATTAATTAGTTAGGTATAAAGATAATATAAGTGTATTTACTGTAAATTATATACATTACTTACAATCTAGTTATTTAAATTAAGAATATAATTAGTTGAATTATGTAAAATATTAAACAAACAAATATAATATATATTGTAACTTACCATCTATAATATAATTATTAAATAGTTATTTAAACAAAGAATTTAGTTATTGAATGTTATATAGAATAAATAAAGTTAAAGGACTAAAGGTTTAAATAACTGATAACTTACCAACTACAGTATTATTAATCATTAAATAAATTATTTAGTTATATGGAATACAATAAAAATAATGAGTAATTCATTATTATTTAATTATATTAACTTACGAGCTAAATATTTAATATAATTTTTATATAATATAGTTAGCCTAAATTATATTTGTAGTATTTGAATTGTTTATAAATAAAACTTAATATTTCAGCTTGTTTGATATACCTTTAGATTCCTTGGTGTCACTTCCTTCAAATTCCTCAATACTACTACTTTCAAATTTTTTAGTACCACTTCCCTCAAATTCTCCAGTTTCACTTTCTTCAAATTCTTCTATATTACTGGAAACTAGTTTTGTTGTATTACAAATTTGGTTTAATAATATTTGATTATTTACAATGAAATTTTTTTAATAAATAAAAATCTTAATATTTCAACTTTGTTTTGTATATTATATTTACCTTCAGGTTCTTTGACATCACACAAAACTAGTTTTATTATATTGCAAATTTGTTTTAAAAATTTTGAATAATTCTAATTTATAATTATTCATGTTATAGGCTTTACCTTTATCAATACGTTGGTCCATTACTATATCAAAATTCTCCCTAATTGGAAAATATCTTTTTTCTTTTTAAACGCCTTTATTAGTATAAATAAATATGGTAACAATATTTATGCAAAATGCATTATGTGCAAAAGTGTTGATCACAAGTACAAGCATTGCATCATTGTATATATGACAAACAAACCGAAATGTATATCAGTATATCAATTATTACAAAATCGCAGTAACTGGTTAATCATTTCGTCTTAGGTAATTATTAAGCACCAACTAGGGTAATTAAGTACTTAAATTGTAAGGGTTAAATTAATTTTAAAAATCTTAAGTTTTGAGAGTTGCACCATTACATTATTAAATTATTAACAATTGATAATAAATATGTTACAGCAAACCCATTTTCGATTAGTTAATTTGATAACAATAATGGGTAAGCACCATTTTTTTTAATGGTTTAATAAAGAAATGGCGTGAATCCATTTCTTGTTAGGTGATTTAGATAATTAAAAACAGGTTCACACTATTTAATTATTAAATCAATTGAAAACTGTGCAAACCTGTTATTTATTATCAAATTACTTAATAAAAAATGGGTTTGCACTCATTATTTCTTTATTAAATCAATTAAGAATAGAAACCCATTATTTATTATCTAAATCACTCAAATCTATTTTTTATTAAGTAATTTAATATACAAAAACAGGTTCACACCAATTTTTCATTTAATAAAGAAATGGTTTGATCCTTTTTTTTATTAAGCAATTTGATAATAAATAATGGAGTCATACCATTTTTAAATAAAGAAACTGTGTGAACCTATTTGTCATTAAGAAATTTAATAATAAATAATGGAATTTTTTTAATGGTTTAATAAAGAAATGGCATGAACCTATTTCTTATTACATTGTTTCTTTATTATTCAGAATTTTTTCAGTACTTATTTTTTTTTCGGATTCCTTTTTTTTCGGAAATTTCACTTTTTTTAAACCGATTTCTTTTCTTTATCCTTTTTCTTTCCCCAAATTTTTTTTATTTTTTATTTTTTTTATTTTTTTTCATTTTTTTTCATTATTAAATAATATATTCACAAATTATTATTTTTTTAAAAAATCAATAACATGTAGGAAAATTGACCAACGTTGATAGAAAGATGATTAAGATTGTCTCAATTAAAATTGAACGCTGAATAAATAGTTTGATTTTCGAATTCATAAAAATCGAAAAAAATTGAAATTTTTACAATATTTTATAATTAATTAATTGAAGAAATTGTTAATTTAATAATAGATTATTATAACCAAATCCATATCCAAATAATCACCAGATTTTTGAATAAAGATTTTAATTCAAATGGTTTAGTTGAATTAATATTTATCAAGTAAAATGAGTATCAAAAGAATAATATTAATAAATGATATGAACAGATTCTAATACATTTAATTGTTCAAATATTTTTCCTAAGTTAGTTATAAGTTTAAGATTGACGTAATATAAAATAATAAGAAATAATTATAAAATTTATAATTAATTAATAAAAATATTTGTAGTATTTTTTATAATATTAAAGTTTTTTCGAAAATACTTCTAAAAAATTAATCAATTTTTATTGATAACTATTTTTTTACAATTCCTTAATTAATCCGAATTTCATTCTACACTCAAACGTCAAATCATTAGTATAAATAAATATAATTTAATACATATTATTTTATTATTTTTTGTTAACTAACTATTACCTAATTATAAACAAAAAACTACTTAGTATTACATTATAATACTAAATTTTTCTATTTAAACAAACTCATTGGTCCCGGTGCGAAAACGGGTAACTGCTAGTGATTACTTCGGTCCGTTTGATTATAAAGATTGATTTAACAGTACACTGGATTTTTTTTTGCCATTCGCTTTATAATGAGTTGAGTTAATAAAAAAAATTTTTTTATATTAATTTAATTATTCTGTAATGAATAATTATAATGACATTAATATTATATAATAATATAATTAATAATTTCAAAATTTTATAAATTTTATGAACCTTAATAACATAGTATATCTTCTCTTACAAAATATTTTATAAAATTATTTCAAATATTGTAAATATGGATTTTATACAAATTTTTTGTCCGTGATAATCATACTAACGATTTTTGGTTTAAGATTGTTTTCCATAAATCGGTTGAATGATAATGATTAATCTAAAAATGGTTAAAATTAAGAGTTTATTATTATTTTGGTTATTCATTTTTGCATATCGTCAAATGACATATGATTACGCAAATCCGCAAATTTGGTAATTTTCAATAACAAAAGTACAATCGCTTGAATTTCC